AGCATGATCGCGCACACTGCAACATCTAAAACTCTACCAAGAACGTACAAACATTTTTGAGATTTCCTTCTTAATATCAAAATGTTGCACCAGCAAATAACCAAGTACTTTAAGGCACATGGGCAAACAACGGGCATCTTAGCTTTAGTTTGAGCAAATACATTAGATCTGCCTAGCTTTATTAATGTTCTAACTGAATGGAGCAAAACATCCATTTGACTCCTGCTAATAAATAAATCTCTGAACAACTATCAGCTTGTTACATCAGGAAGTGCTCTATTCTCACTTTCTCTTTCCAGATATTTGCAGTATCTGACCTTGGGGGATAGGATAATGCCAGACAACCAAACGAAAAGTCAGATAAAAGGGAGCTTAGCCCACAGCAGGACTCCAGGTGTGTCAAATGTCTTAAAAGGAACCCTCCCTAATTTGGGGGCTGTAAAGCGAATAACAGAATAGCAGAATAAGAGTCGGAAGGGACCTTGGAGGTCTTCTAGTCCAACCGCCTACTTAAGCAGGAAACCCTATACCATTTCAGACAAGTGGTTGTCCAATCTCTTCTTAAAAACCTTCAGTGTTGGAGGCAGGTTGTTCCACTGGTTAATTGTTCTCACTGTCAGGAAGTTTCTCCTTAGTTCTAGGTTGCTTCTCTCCTTGATTAGTTTTCATCCGTTGCTTCTTGTCCTGCCTTCAGGTGCTTTGGAGGTTAGGTTGACCCACTCTTCTTTGTTCAAGATTGACCCCCCTCTTCTTTGTTCTAGATTGACCTCCTCTTCTTTGCTCAAGATTGCCCCCCTCTTCTTTGCTCAAGATTGCCCCCCTCTTCTTTGTTCAAGATTGCCCCCCTCTTCTTTGCTCAAGATTGACCCCCTTTTCTTTGTTCAAGATTGAACCCCTCTTCTTTGTTCAAGATTGACCCCCTCTTCTTTGTTCAAGATTGACCTCCTCTTCTTTGCTCAAGATTGACCCCCTCTTCTTTGTTCAAGATTGACCCCCTCTTCTTTGTTCAAGATTGACCCCCTCTTCTTTGTTCAAGATTGACCCCCTCTTCTTTGTTCAAGATTGACCTCCTCTTCTTTGCTCAAGATTGACCCCCTCTTCTTTGTTCAAGATTGACCCCCTCTTCTTTGTTCAAGATTGGCCCCCTCTTCTTTGTTTAAGATTGACCCCCTCTTTTTGAAATATTGAGCAGACAAGATTGTAGGAAGGAGACCACACAGTGTAAAAGATGTTGTGGATCTAGGGAATGTCCCTACCACAAGTGTCATGATGGGTCCAACCAGCAGAAGGATCTAAGCTAAGCTAAAAATGAAGAAAACCACATTGCGAATTAGACACTCAATCAGCTTATTGTTTTCTCTCGAGATGCTGAGGATAGTTCTTGGATCGCTCCTACATGCAAAATTGAGACTCAGAATTGGTCCTACTGTTTAGGCCAGGAAGGTTGGGCAGTTTAAGAGGCTGGGGCATTATTTGTATTAATCATGGTTTATGAAATGGGCCAAAATAGGAGGGTTCACATCACATTCAGTCATCAACCATGCTTTTCCAAGCCAGAATTGCTGGTTATAAGTAAGCAACATTATGTCTTAGCACAATGAACTCAGTAATGGATGAATCCTGAATTTCCTTCAAATGTCCAGTGAGACCTCTCTCCTTGAAAAACAAAACTAAACAACTCCGGAACATGAAACCAGGGGCTCTTTCTGCTTCCTTTATCTGGATCAGGAGAGAGAAGAATCGATTTCCAATCATCAAACTTTCAAAACGTCATTTGGAAGATGCTCCTGGAAATGCAAGCTCTCAATTTCAACGGGTTTTCTTTTTATAAGATTTCCCCCCCCCCCAGCACTTTAATGCCTTCCATTGGAGTGAAGAGTTGACTAAGCTCCTGTCTATCATCATTAATAGGCACTTGTCGAGTTGTTGTGATTGTGGGATCCTTTATAAGCTCAGGCAGAAAATCGTTTTGCAGAGGGTGTTCCTTGCGTCTGCGGATGTCGTTACCAACTGAGTTGGAAGGACCTATCCCAGGTATCCCCCTGAGACGGTCTCCAAGCAGCTTATATTTTGGGAAGAACTGAGCTGCCTTGTCAAGGATAAAATCCAAGCACCTGTCAAGGCTGTGGCTGAGAAATGAAGGAAAGGCAGGACTGAAGGGTAAGTTCTTTTGGTGATTCACTATGATCCTTCTTAGTGGGTTTCTAGCCCGTGTTCATTCTTTTTAAATTGCCACGTAGTTCCAGGCCAGATTTCTTCAAAGGAAAACACTAAGGACAGCTCTTGAAAATAAATGCTATTAAAAGATGAAATGTAAAGCTAAGTCTCAAAAAAAATTCAGGGAAATCTCTATGTGGTTTCCAGGACTATCCAGCCCCTAATATTGTATAGGTTGGAGGAGCAGTGTGGATAGTGTTGCATTTTTGGGGTCCTTGGTGCTCTCTGAGCTTGGTGGTTTTCTTGCAGATATCTCATGACCCAACTAGGTAACATCATCACTGCTAGAAGGGGATGCAGGAGGAGGAGGAGGAGGAGGAGGAGTCTGGGATCCTTGGTGGTTTTCTTGCAGATATTTCATGGCCTAACATCATTGCTGCTAGAAGAGAGTGGGGTGTGGAGAGGAGGAGGAGGAGGAGGAGGAGGAGGAGGAGGAGGACCATAGGGTCCTTGGTGCTCTCTGAGTTTGGTGGTTTTCTTGCAAAAGTTGCATGACCCAGCTAGGTAACATCATCAGTGATAGAAGGGGGGGCTGCTCTCTGTCTATTAGTGGCTTGTCCCATCAGTGCTGGTGGGAGTGGTCTGAGGGGGGATTCTTGATTAGGCTTGTTGTTTATTGAGTTGGTAGTTGTTTAATTGGAGGAATTCTGTTGGGGTATAAACAGGGAGCAAACGCCACTCCCTTCTAGCACTGATGATGTTAACTAGTTTGGTGATAAAATGTCTGCAAGAAAACAACCAAGCTCAGAGAGCACCAAGGACCCCACAATTAAGGAAGGAAGGAAGGAAGGAAGGAAGGAAGGAAGGAAGGAAGGAAGGAAGGAAGGAAGGAAGGAAGGAAGGAAGGAAGGACCAGATTGGCAAGAGTTGACAATAAACAAAATTTAACAGGCAGGGAAGACTTGAGTTCTTCTCATGTGGTTGTGTACGGTTTATTATTCCTTTTACACCTCTACCAGCAGGAAGTTTTCATTACTGGACTACTTTGTCGGTCTCCTTCAACCAGTTTATTACCCTCTGCCATATGCCCAAGCCACAGCAATGTCACAGCATGTCAGGACCCCAGTGCACAACACAGCTGTGACACAATGCACATGACAGCATAGCCCTCTCCCCCTCTGCAGACACCCTACGCACTCAGCTTAGTCACAGCGTGTTTGAGATGTCTTACAAAACCAGTCCATGCCTCTTTTGTCTTGTTTTTCTTAAATCTCAACCCGCTTAAAAGTAGGACATGCAAAACGAATCTCCGATTCCCATTTCAGATTGGCCAAACACACAACCCTCCAGTGCACAGGGCAAGCCTCTTGTAGATGATGACCGATGACAACGTGAATGCTCAGTCAATATGTTTACCCTTTCCATTTGTCAGGGACGACCCGTGGCTGGGTTTTCTTTATCATCAGAGAAACTTCTCAATCGATTTTAAAAAAAAACATCTAAGCAGACAGGGCTAAGCATAGCCTAAAGAGAGGAACGTCTGCTTCCTTAATCTATCAGGGGGAAGAAAAAAAAGAAGCCATCTCTTGCAACTTCCAAGAGCCTGTTGGAGTGATTAAGCCACAATTTGATTCAATTTAAGGCACGGCTATAATTAAATCACTGTCATATATTATGTATCAGGAAGGCCCATCGTGAACTTGCAACTCCCACTTAGAAAGGTGTTGGTTACAGCCAACAGATGTGCCCCCAGCAGCTTTGGGAGTTAACCAACTTGCTTTAACTCTCCCCTTTTGATGGAGTGTGTAACCTGGGAGGGGTGGGCTATTGACTTGCGGAGCTGAGTGGCAGTGGATCTGCTGCTTCTCATTATGAAAGGGGTGGGGAGGGGGCAGGCTGTTCAAAGCTGCAATTGTAGAAGAGAAAATAGAAGCGTCATTCAGATGGCCAGGTAAATGTAGGAGAGAACACTTAGCCAGAACTATCTGTTTTTCACCCCTGGGAAACAGGGGTGTATGAGGGAGCCCCTCTTTTCATTCTGGTAATTATGGATTCTTGGTGTCTTCCAGGGGATTTGTGCAAACGTAGGAATGCTGCAGCCCTACCCTTCTCTTTTGTTCTCCCAAAGGTGGTTTTTCAAAAGACAACTGGACTTGGCTTTTCCTTCAAGACTTTTCGCTTCTCATCCAAGAAGCTTCTTCGATTTTGACTGAAGTCAGAACCGAGGAAGCTTCTTGGATGAGAAGTGAAATGTCTTGAAGGAAAAACAAAGTCTAGTTTCCTTTTAAAAAAGCACCTTTGGGACAACCATGACCTGGATGATTGAGGATCTCCATATTCTCCTTTGTTTCTTCCCAAGATGCAAGAAATGGCCTCTGACCATCTCAGATCCTTTACGGGACACTGGAGGGGGAGAGATGGGTTGGTCTAGAACAGTGTCTCTCAACCATGGCCACCTGGGGATGGGTGGGCTTCATCTTCATGCTGGCTGGGGAATTCTGGGAGCTGAAGCCCACCCATCTTCAAGGGGTCAAGGTTGAGAAACACCAATCTATTGGAGTACAAAGACAGGAGACATCTGGTAATTACTTTTCCGCCCAACTGACGAGTTTTATTTAAAGGCATCGGCTTTTATGAACTGCAGCTTCCTTCACAGATGTTACCTGAGGCATCTGGTGAAGGGAGATGCATCTGGTGAAGCTGGTGGCTTTTCAGAAAAAAATCTGCTGGTTGGCAAAGGTGCTACCAGAGCTGAGCTCCCTATGGTCCAACATGGCCTGCAATGGTCATCCCACCAGTTCCCCTGGAGCTTCTAATGGACAACAGAAGGAAGGCAAACCTACCACAATGATGAACAGAGCTGGGCCCACAAAAGCCCAGATGGCACCGCTCTCCAAGGAAAGCCAACAGCTGCAAAGGAAGAGGGAAAGACATCACACCTGGAATACTGCAGTAAATTTTGGTCACCATATCACAAAAAAAGATGTTGAGAGTTTGGAAAAACTTCAGAGAAGAGCAACTATGATGATCAAAGGCATGGAGGCTAAAACATACGAAGAATGGCTGCAGGACTTGGGTTTGACTAGTCTAAAGAAAAGAAGAAATAGGGGAGACATGATAGCAGCATTCCAGTATTTGAGGAGCTGCCACAAGGCAGAGGGGGCCAGGTTGTTCACCAAAGCACCAGATGGAAGTACGAGAAACGATGGTTGGAAACTGATCAAAGAGAGAAGCAACCTGGAACTAAGGAGAAACTTCTTGACAGTGAGGATAATTAACCAGTGGAACAGCTTGCCTCCAGAAATTGTGGGCACTCCATCACTGGAGATTTTTAAAAAGAGACTAGACATTCTCCTGTCTGAGATGGTATAGGTTCTCCTGCTTGAGCAGGGGGCTGGACTAGAAGACCTCCAAGGACTAGAAGACCTCCAAGGTCCCTTCCAGCTCTATTCTATTCTATTCTATTCTATTCTATTCTATTCTATTCTATTCTATTCTATTCTATTCTATTCCATTCTATTCCATTCCGTATTCTATTCTATTCCATTCCATTCCATTCTATTCCATTCCATTCCATTCCATTCCATTCTATTCTATTCTATTCTGTTCCGTTCCGTTCCATTCCATTCTATTCCATTCCATATTCTATTCTATTCTATTCTATTCTATTCTATTCTATTCTATTCTATTCATGACATTGTAGCATGGGGATGATCAGTGTGTAAGTTCCAAACCACCACTGATTTAAAAATATGTAGTAGGGAGAAAGGCTGGAGTGGATGGACAGCAGAAAAAGTTCTCCTGCTTGCTTCCTTCATTCCAGGCCTTTGTTCAAGGAACAAAAGAGAGGGAAAGCCCATGGTTTTCACTTCAGCCACAGCTGTCTCTGGAAGGCTATCACCTTGGAACTAACATTGCAAATGGAATGCAACCTTTGCTGGCTTTAACATGATCTGGATGTGGCAGAAAGGCCAAGCTGTAGGCCTTTATCTTCTGGACTTTAGGTCCCACTGTTCTCAGGTACGTCTGAAGGATGCTGCATTAAGGAAACTGGGCCAGGATATGGATCCATGGAGACTGCTTAATGCTCAGACAGTTGGAGCAAATACGGGCATGTGACGCCGTCCACAAACCCTACATTCTTCAAAGGAGCTATCATAACAGCAACAAATTTATAGTTTCTCATTTCCAGAACTTACTTGTTGGCTTCTCCATAGCTTTCCACAGATGTCGTTGCGGAAATGACACAGATCAGGAATGGGCATCCTGCAGGAATGAAGAGGAGAACATTAGCATCTTCATCAGAAGAGGATAAAAATAGAAGGATGGTCCCATCCCATTCACATTGAAAGCGTAAGGAGAAGGAGTGGCAAAACTCAAGGATGGAGTCAAAAGAGGGATCAGCCTAGAATCGCTACATAACCACAAGCAAAATAAGTCCAACCTCTCCCTTGAATTCCATGAACCCTTATCTAATTCCTAGCAGGTGCTAACCACTGGTTGATTAATTTACATAGGCACGATTAGCAATAAATCGGTTTAATTGGATCTTCACATATGGACCTGGTGGTAAGATAAAGAGCTGGGGTGCTCGTTGTTCCTGAATTTCCCCAGTCCCATCACCAGATGGGCCTTGGGTGAGCCAGCAGCTACATCGTGAAAAAGCAATGTGACTGCCCTTAAAATCGCCCTCTTTTTTTTGTGACTTGATGTTTTAATAGCCGCAGTCTTTGATCACATTTTGCAAGGAAATTTTAGGGGCTGCTGGGGGGGTGTGTGCTTCACAGTTGGCTCCCTCTTCATTATCGGTGTTGCTGAAGAAAGATAGATTTGTGGCAAAGTGTTGCAAATTCAATTACAGAGGCATATGGATGCATAATAGGAAACTAGCAGGCATTACTGGAAACAAAGTGAGCCTACGATCAATGTGCGATAGTGGTGGAAGACGTGAGCAAAGAAACAGCTACTGTTTT